AAGAAAATGTAAACACAATTATTCTGAACAAAAGGTGTTAAAGCTATTGACCTTTCTCATTTTGTGAATGTGTCGGTTGAGAAAAGGGCTGAAATTGATGAGTTTGCTTATTCTTCGATTATTCTGAACTTATCTGACTCGATGTTAAGAAAAGTTGGTAAATTGGACTCTGATAAAGAACTTTGGGAAAAATTAGAGGAATTATATACTGAAACTTCTTTGCCAAATAAGTTGTTTCTGCTTGAGAAATTTTTCCGGTTCAAACTTGATTTGTCCAAAGATATGGATGATAATTTGGATGTGTTTACCAAACTTGTTCAGGATATTAAGCAAACTGGTGATAAGCATATTGATGATTATACCCCTATTGTGCTCTTGAATGCTATACCCGATTCTTACAGTGATGTGAAATCTGCTATTAAGTATGGTAGAGATAATGTGAATCTTGAAACTGTTGTGAATGGTTTGAAAAGCAAAGAGCTGGATTTGAAACCAACAGGGGTAATCAGAATGTCGATGAGGTTAATTTTGTGAGGGGAAAGCCTCAAAATCATTTTCAAAATGAAAAACCTCCGGCAAATCAAAATTTTGGCAAAAAGAAGGGTACGTGGAAAAATTGGTCGAAGTCTCGATCCAAAAACTGTAAGTATTATAATTGTGGTAAAATTTGTCATTACATGAATGATTGCCCTAATCCCAAGCAAAACCAGCATATTGATCATGCAAATATGGCATCTAGTAGTGAAAACCTTGGTGATGTGTTTTATGTGAATGAAATGCATGATAATGTGAATTCTGTGCGTTCTCGTTCTTTTGTGAAATTGAATGGCTTGTTGATTCTACATGCTCGTTTCATATGTCTTCTTTCAAACACTTGTTTTCGAACTATAAAGATGTGAAGCATGGATTCGTTTCTATGGCTAATGAGAAATCGTGTGAAGTTGCTGGTATTGGTGATATTTGTTTGAGGTTTGATTCTGGTTATGTGTTAACTCTAAAGAATGTGAGGCATGTTCCTGATTTGTGTCATAATTTGATATCATGTGCTGCTTTAGAAGATGATGGTTTAGAAGGTAAATGGGGAAATGGTGTTATGAAAATTTTGAAGGGTTCTTTGGTGATCTTCAAAGCTGTTAAAAAGTTGAACTTGTATGTTTGCATTACTGAATCTTGTATGCAAAACCCTGTGAATGATGTCTGTGGTGACAAAACTGATTTGTGGCATACGCGTTTAGGTCACGTGTGTTTTAGGGGTCTTGAGATTTTGCATAAAAATGACTCTTTTGGTTGTGACAAATTGTCTTGTGTGCCATTTTGTGTTTCTTGTGTGCTTAGCAAACAATCTCGAGTGAGTTTCTTTGTTTCTGAACCTGTCGTTGCTCCGAGCAAGGTGGAGCTTTCATGTCTTTTGTTTGATGATGTGCAGCATGTGCCTATTATGCCTGATGAAGACTCTATTTCTGACAATCTATCTATAAATGTATTTGATAATCATGTTGATGATGTTGTTGTGCATGTGGAAATTGTTGAAAATTTGCCTAAATCTGATCTTTGTGATTTGCATGACTATCATTCGACTAGAGATAGATCTAGAAGATATAAGGTTCTTTATGTTTCTAAACTAAGAAAGTGGTTCTTAGTAGATTCTAAATGGATGTCATGTTGCTTGAAAATTTTGATTTATGATACGTGTGATTGATATGTGTTATGTGAACCGACTTTGGGCCAAGGTGGAGAATGTTGTTATTGTGGCCCAAATGAGATGTTTTATTGATGGCCCAATATTCAAACATTTCTCTGGCCCAATTTCTTTGGCCTGGGCCCGGTTTGGCAGCCCACCTAGGATCTAAAGTGATCTTGATCGTTGTGTTCTTTTCTTTAGTTACTTGTTACCCTATTCTCCTAACATTAGCAGCCATCTGGTTTAAAAGGGTGATAGCCCTTATCCTCATTAACATCCTTGAGAAGTTTCAGCTATTTTGAAAAGTAGAACAACTACTTACACGCAGCCTTCATTTTAAATAGCTGTGAACCCTAAGTCGTAGGAGAGATAAGCAGCGATTGGAAACACACGCAGCATCTCAAAAATCCGAAATACACTCTCTGTTAAAAACTTGCTCTTAGAAATTCGACTTTTGTGTCTAATTTGCGATACCTTCTTCCATTCTTAGTAATCTTTGTGATATGGGGTAGTGAGTAGGGTGAGAGTTTACTTTGTGTATTCAGCCGGAGGGTTTTTTGAGAGAGAGGGGTTTGGGGTTTCTTGTGTGCGGGCTGCTTCTCGGGCCGAGTTTGCTGCGACCGAAGAGTGGTGTTACCCCGGGCTTCCAATGCCGGAATTATTGAGGCCAAGGGTCCATTGATCGGTTCTTGTCGGCTATTCGGTGACTCATTTTGTGGGTTTGACATAAGGGGACTGAGCCTGATCGAACTTCCACCCCATCATTGCGGAACCGGTGACATTCGGGCCTCGTACAAGAACATCGAAAGGGTGTACTCATTCCTATTTTATGCTTTGTTTATTTTCAGCATTTGTCAATTTATCTATCTTATTGATTGCTGACATTTGTCTGTTTATGGTGAATCGGTTTCAACTTGAAGCGGTCAAACCGGGACTTCTTCGGGACAGAAAGGTTTCTGTCCGTGGTCCTACCGGGGCTGTCCGGGACCTGTTGGTTGCTGTCCGGGTTCTACAGGGGCTGTCCAGGACCTGCTGGGTGCTACCGGGGCCTACCGGGTGCTTCCGGGACGAACAAGAGGCTGTTCGGGACTGTTCGGGGCCAGCCCGGGCCCTGCAAGTCGAGCCAGACGACCACCCAACATAAATACTACTCTCTCTAGTGTTTCTTTTTTTGAATGGAAAATGCAACTTTGTAAATTGAAAAATGTATGCCTAGAATTTTTACATTTTGACATAAGTATGTATTTACATATTTATTACCTAATTCAGTAAAAACTTTGGATGAAAAAGAATCACACGAATCGTGGGATCTATTATGATAATCATGGCAAGAAAATCTTTCACCTTTTTCCAAGTTGACACGTCTTAATTACCTAGTTAATCTTGTCACGAGATTCTTAAGTGCAAAAGTTAATCGAGATTAATCTTGAGAAAATTACTCTAAACACTATCAATTTGACTTTTTATTACACAATAAATATCAATCTATAAATAATAACATTATTAAACAAATTTTAACTTTTATTTGCAGATATGCCACAAAAGTTATTAATTCAGATTTTTTGAACAAATCACAAGATCATTACCATAATTTATGGGAAGTTAATAAGTTATAAGAAACTGCTACCCGATAAAAAAGTGAATAAGATTTAAACTTCATTCTCTCTCCCACTACTATTCCGTCGTCTTCATTCAACTGTGAACAAACCCTATATCCTCTCAACCTCAACAACAATGGCAAACACCAAATTTGGAAGAAGCCCATCCAGCGGAGACGAGATTTCTCCACATCGGAGGTCGAGTTCCCGTCTAAAGAATATCAAATCGAACAAGCACCCAACCCTTGTACAAAAGAAACTGCAGTTCGATAAGAAAGGGGCGAGATCAGAAAAAAATATGAAGTCACCGGATTCTGATTTTGAGGATGAAATTCATTTCTCTGGGTGTACAGAAAAATAAGACCAGCAAGTGGAGTTCAATAAACACAGCAGCAGTCATAGATGTCGGTCATGCCTTGTATCAATCGTCTCAACCGTCTTTCAGTTTAGGAATCCCAGATTTACCACCTCCACCACAAGTTAGATTCTTGAACCTTGTCGCGCACCAATCTGTAAATGTGTTTTCATATTTGTTATTTAACATTTTTATTTATATTAACAAATTCAAATCAATTGTTTTTTTCTCTTCAAGACAACTCATATCGAGCATGACTTGGATAGAAGAAATGTAACACGTTCGAAGCGAAGGAACGTTGTCGAACCCACCAGCAGTGCGATGGTTGTCTTTCGACCACCGGGTAACAAATCTTTTGGAAATTCGGTAAAACGCACTAGGAGAGAGCGGAAAAAAACAGCACTTCAAAGGTCATGCCAATTGGATGTTGATTTTTGGCATGGTGCGTATACAAATTTTCGACATTGAGGCATACAAAGATTGGATTGCTAAGGGAACGCTGCAGCGTCCTCGAAAAGTGGGAGACTGGTAATTTAATAGATACAAATTCATCACAACTTTCTTTGTTTATTTGTTGTATGAATATCAAACAACAACTAATTAGCTTATTTGCATATACGATTTATTTTTTTTTTTTTAATTTTGTTTGTTGGCTTATACAGGTACAATTACTATGATTCTAGGACCAGATTCTTAAAACCTCCAATGGATTTCAATGTTGCTGAAGTTACGGACAAGAACTGGTTGTACTACATTTATGAGACCAATATGTTTCTCGATAGTACTGTAAGTATAATTTAATCCATGTATATATTTTAACGTTACATACTTTAATATACCAAAATGAATTATCCCTTTTTGTTTTTATTTTTGTTCTTTTTAATTTTAGTTGTTTTGTTTCTTATTTGTTATATATCGCAGCACATGGATGTGTTGTTTTACTATTTGCGCAAGATCAGGTTGTACGAAAAAAATGCTCCACTGAGATTCACAACGACTGATACCCTGTTTGACCAGCACATTAGGGCACTGTATAGTACCTTTCTAGAACAATCGCGCAATCCGGGTGTATGCTCTGTTCAGGACATGTTTACAGACTACATATTGGGTTATAAAATTATATGTGGATTGTCATGGTTTGAAGTTGATCATGTTTTGTTTCCAATGCATGTTGAACTTAATGTCATTGGTCACTGGATTCTGGGAAGGTTCTCTTTCGCCGACATGAGGTTTTGGGTTTATAATTCATATCAATCTGTAGATTTTGACGAGGTTGTTCTTGAGAGTGCTCAGGCTTATTCTGAGCTTCTGCCCATTTTCCTTCGTTTGGTGCACTTCTTCGACAAGAGGACTGATGCAAACACCGATGCGGGTGGACGAATCAGATGTGAACTCTCCTCTTGAGGTTACGGTTGCTTCTAACATCCCAAAGTAGATCAGCAGGTATTTTTTCATATATGATTATGCTTTTTCATTTTTTTTATATACATAAAAGGTTTTTTTTTTTTATTTATATATATATAACATGTATCTAATAATTTTAAATAACACTCAGATAGATTATTAGTATATTTTTTGTATATATTTCTGTACCTGTGGCAAGTCCATTTTTTTTTGTTATTTCGATTTTTTTTTGCAGTGATTGTGGTGTGTTCGTTGTTTCCTACGCTGAGCACTTCATAACCGATGTTGATCTTCCCGATAAGTACGGTATCAATGTGGAGAGGCTTAGATACTCGTACTTGCTATATGCGCATGGAAAATTTAAGAAAGAAAATGATTATGAAAGCGAGGATGAATCACCCGGCACAATGCCTGAAGAAGTCCGTATCAGTTACTTGGAATGATTGTGTAGTTAGGTGGAACAATTTTATTATTATTCAGTGTTTTCGATTTCATGACATGTAGACGTTGTTTGTTGGTTTTTTCTTTATTTTTTCTGGAATCAATATTATCAGACTTGGTCAATATTATGAATGATTTCTTTCAACACATGTTGTGAATGAAGCTTTACATTAAGGTATATATATTGATTTGCATACATGACAGCTAACATATCAAATCATATTGTGATATATTCACAAATATGTTGAGGTTATAACTTTATGCTGTATATATTAAAAAAAAAAAAAACAGGAAAGAACTTATTCAGGTAGTTTAATATCGACAATATATACTTATCAGTTTATGGAAAGTGTATCATTTTATATACTTAACATATACATAATATATTCAATTGACATGTTATTCAAAGAATAATGCTACAAGTAGCATTGTCCTTATTCAAAATGGTACAATCACTTAATATTTAATATATCTAGTAGATATATATAATGGTATGCATACAACACACCTAACAATAACATATGACTAATTTTTAAATAGATATAATATCACTTGGCTAAATTCTAAAATATCACACCTAAAAATAACACATGTCTAATTTCTAATAACATCACATGTATTATGAAATTTAAAGAGATAAAATACACAAAAGTATGGTTACATCCATTCGGGGTTTTTGAATACATACAGAAATGCATTAAAATTTCTTTGGATTTCGAAAAGTTTTTACATTATGCCCTTTCTCATTACATTTACTGCATCTATTCTTAGATCTATGCTCCCATCCTGACTTTATTCGTTGTTTTCGTGGACGTCCCAGACGGACTCTTGAATCTGGTGGATGTACTCAACTTGCCGTTGGCATTGTGTCACATCTGAATGGTTGGCTTCCTTCGATTGGCATTACTGCTTCATCATATGTACTCAACATAGTTGATGTCAAGTAATGAGCTGAACAAAATGGGACAGGATCCAAATGTAGTGATTTTATCACACGAATAGCATGCGGACAAGGGAGTTCCTCTATTTGAAACCGATGGCACGAGCAAGTCTTAGCGTCTATATCAACTACAAACGATTTACCATCAGCTACCACTTTATACACACTGTCACTAGCTTTTTGAACCTGTACAAAAAATATAAAAGTCATAATAAA